AGTGATGAGGAGATAGCCGGTGAATAGAGTTAGCAGCCAAGCCTGACTTAAGACCACTACTTTTTCCAGCAGATCAGGTTTTGTCACTAGACTATTAAATTCAAAGAACATTCACTAAACACCTACAGTGCCAGAAACCACTAATCTAAATGCTCCATTTAAAGGCATAAATAAATGGATGAATGAATGAAAGAAAATACAAAAAAACAAAAAAAGGTCCCTGAAGACTCTTACATTTTGCTGAAATAAAATGCAGGTAAATATAATGAAGCAAACATGGCCTCCTACGTGGACACAGAGTTGTCCCCTCACAGCCAGAGAGATAAGGGCGTAAGTCCTACCTCTGTTCTAGGCAACCCTCTAAGACCAAAAGTTGCAGAGAAATTGCTGACTTGCATTGGTAGAGGGAGTTTCCTTTCCTGGACCACCCTATGCTAATGAAATCACAGGTTTCACTCCTATCCCTACAAGTAAATACAAAGTATTTGTAATAATTTGGGGATCAAGAGCACTACCAACTTGGGGGGGGGGGGCAAGAGTGTCAAAAGAAGCCTGTGTAGGAAGTGGTCCTTGCACTGAACTATGAAGGTGAACTTCAAATTCCAAAAGGCAGAAATGAGGAAAGAACATTGTGACTCAAGGGAAAATGCCTGGAAAGAGGCATGGAGACATGAGCTAGATTACTGTTGTGTATGGGAAACAGTGTTATGCCAGTTTAGCTGAAATATATAGTTTATGTAAAGAAGTAAGATAAATTAAGTCTGGAAGGAGGTGGAAGCCACAGAGTGAAGGGATTTAAATGCCAAATGGAGGGGTTTGTATTTTATCTTATAGGCCACTGAGGCTTCTTGAGCAGAGGAGTGATGTGGTGCTTCTGGAATGTTGAGTCTGCAATAGTGCAGGTGAGAAGTGATGAAATGGAGACAAGGGAGTGCACCTAAGACTTGCTGGGGAAGTAGAATCAACAAGACTTGGTAAATTATTGGGTATTAGGTGGAAGGGAAGGAAGGACTGGTGATGGTAAGGAACAGCGGGTAGTCAAGAATGACTCAGGTTGTGAACCAAGATGACTGGAAGAACAGTGGGGCCCTTGACAGACAGATATGAGAATACAGATGTGTTTCAAGGGAAAGATGAACATTTGTTTTGATTACATTGAGTTTGATATGGCTATGGGATATCCAAGTAGAAATGTCCAGAAAGAAGTTGGTAACTGGGCCTGCGGCTACGGAGAAATGAATAACTAGCACAAATACCTTTCCCTCTTGTTTTGAAGGTATCCTGTCAGCTACAGCCTGACGGAAAAGGGCTTCCTAAGGGCTGGAGCCTTAACCACCAATTTTGTAAAGTAAGCCACAAAACCCTCAAATCAGCTTTTAAAATCTCATTCAGTTGGAAAAAAACATAAATCTCATTCACCTGGTGATTGTGGAAACAAAAAAACACGTCAGGGTTCGTGCATTGGGTTGGGGAGTAAAGAGGGAGAAGGCACAGAAGATCAAACTGGGTCAGGGAGTCGCTCACCTGGAGGAAGCAATTGAACAGTTTTCCATTTTAAACAATTCTTGTTAACTAGCCGCTATTGTTTCAATAGCGGCAAGAAGGAACTGCCAACACCCTCTAAATTTCAGTGCCCTCTGGCAAAAGCCTGGAGTGCCCGGTTCTAGTAACAGGCTCAGCCTAAAGGAGGGGAGAAGGGTCCCCTTTACGAATCAAAATACAAGGATACCGGGATGTACGATTTGCAGAGAATATCTCACACTTTTGCCTGGCGCTGGTTTGCAAAATGGGCCCGTACAGCTAGACCTCCACCCCTCTCCTCAAAGTCCACGGTCCCTCCGCCCTTCAAATCACCTCCAAGTTTCAAGTAACCTCCCTGATGCGGAGGGAGAAAGTGGGTCGGAAAACCAGCATTTGTACTCCTAAACTACTGCAGGAGAAGCCACTCCCCCGCGAATTCCACGAGACCTTCCTTTCTCCATCAGGTGGGTGGTCTGTGGGAGCCCCGGGCCCGCGGCCAGGGAGGGTCCTCTGCTGCAGGAAGCCGCCGTGGGCTGGCCGGCGGAAGGGCCAGGGGAGTTGGTCGCCACTGCGCCTGCTCCTCTTCTCAGGGGCGCGCACCATCCAACGCGACGCCAGAGCAGCAGCAGCAGCAAAGGAGCTCGCACTGCCCCCCCTCCTCCCCCTCCCCTTCCTGTCCCTCACCTGAGGCCTGGCCTGGTAGGCGCGGAGGCAGCGGCGGAGCCTCCGGGCTGCTCCTCGGCTTGGCTGGTACATGATTTTCGGGAGTGAAGAGGGTGTCTCCCGAGCCCGGAGTCCAGTATCCTCCCCACAGGCGTGGGCTCTCCCCGAAGCCGGCTTCTTGAAGGGGAAGGGGGGGGGGTGAGGAGAGGGAAGGAAACGGAGACCACGCGCCTGCGCATTATAGACTCCAGAGGTAGCGGGCACTGAGACTACGGGAAGAGCGCCTGCGCTCACAGGGGAAAAAAAAAGTGGGATTTGAACCGTACAGCGCTTGCGCGAAAGGCAAAACGAGACGGGGTGGCCCAGGGGGGCGCGCCACTGTGGAAAGTGCACATGCACGTTTGGTAGAGGCACACACTCCCAGCCACAGCCTAGGAACGAAGGCGAAAATGCATGCAGAAATGTCAAAATAAAGGGGAAATAACGAGACGCTGCAAAAGGCAGGACTGGGAACGGAGATGTCTGACTTAATAGAGATGTTGGACCACATGAATGTAGGAGATTAGGACTCATTTTATTTCCCACTGATTTTACAGGTGAGAACACTAATGTTGAGAAAGTGAAAGTGACCCGCCAAAAGTCACCCAGGCAAAAAGTAACAGGGACAGGGCCTGAACAGCTTCCTGACCCCTGAGCTTATCTTTCCAATACATCACACTGAAATCCAGGCTCCTGACCACAGCATTTAATATTAAAAATAAGTAAAATCCTATTTAAAAATACAACACAATTTGGGCAGATAAGGCAAGTGGATGAGAAAAAGAAAGATGCCCAACTCTGACCGACCAACAAATGTCCCTGAGGGCAGGGCTCATTATTTCTCCATGGAGTGGAGCCAAAGTCTCCAGGCGTGAGGATCACCCCAAGAAGGATGAGATGAGGGCCCAGGTCACCATGGTCTGGTACTTCGGTGCTCCTGGAGGTATCGAATGAACCTTGCGTTGACCATGGACTCCCCCAGTCTCCATAATGGGACTGGGGGCTGCAGGGCCTGTGGAGGGGCGGAGGACCTGGTTCCCTCCCCATCTTGCTCCCCTGACACAACCTGCTGCCCCCTGTTGGTACACCTGTTAAGGTGGGATGGAGAGGAGATTAAAGTATTATAGGGATGCTCCTGAGAAATTTGGGGGGGCAAATCCTTGTGTTAATAAGAATTAGAGTTATTTAGAAGACAAAAGCTAAAAGGAAGTTTCTAAGATGTTAAATGGGAAGAGAACAACTGATGATGTTATGTGAGATCAGGAGAAAGAGTTTAGAAAGTTAGAAGATGGGAAAAGGAGAGTTAGAGGCATATATTCAGGGATGGTGTGAAGATGCAAGTCAGACCTCACCTACTCTCCGTTTCTTGTTCCCTCTTCCTCTGTGCTTGGTTGCCTGTGGAAACAATGGTGTGTGTGTGTGTGTGTGTGTGTGTGTGTGTTGAAAGAGAAAGGGAGTGGGTATAATGTATATGGCTTTAAACTTCGGGGTGGGGGAGAGTGGCAAGGATAGAAAATAATGTTAGAGCTGAAAAGGGCCTTATAAATTATATAAGGTAACTGCTAAAAAATTCTAGGGATTCAGCCAGTGGAAGATGTACAGATCCCAGAGGTAGGCAGATTTGGGACTGTTACCAGTTGTAGAAGCAGTGATTCAGAACTAGAAAGGCCTTAAAGGCCATATAATCTAACCCTCTCATTTTACAGATGAGGAAATTTGGGCCTAGGGAAGAGACCCACCTAAAGGAAATTTATTAGGGAAGTGATCCACCTAAAATCATACATAGTGACAGTCACAGAGGTAGGATTCAAATCCAGGTCTTCTAACTTCAAATCTAGTCTCTTTCCACTGTACTACAAGGAAAGCTAGAAGTAAAATGACTTGCAGAAAATCATGACTAAATCTAGAACACAGGTCTCTTGATTCCTAAACCAAGATTTCCCACAATGCCTTGCACTTACCTGTTTGGGGGCATGAGGAGTCTGGCTCCCCATATCGACTGTAGCTGCAGTCCTGGGCCACCAGTCCTAGGGTTGATCCCCTGTAGAAGAAATGGGCTATGGGGGAGGTAACAGGAAAAGGGCTGGAGGATGGAAAGATGGAAAGAGTAGCAATGGAAACTGAGATAAGATGTGGAAAGAAGACAAAGGAAACCAAGAGAAGGCAAGCTAGTAATGATCCTTTCTGAGCTGGTGGCAGATTTAGTTTGTTACTCCTTAATCTATGGAAATGCTGAAATGAAAACGGCCTGGAGTATAGGATATCTTGGAATGGAGGAAGGCAAGTGGGTAGAGAGGGCTAAATCAAGAGGGGAAAAGGTCTATGGGATATAGAAAGCATCACAGGATTTCTGACTGAAAACTAGGAGATTCTCAAATCAGGGATATGTAAAAGATATCCAAGGAGTCACAGTGTAGTGACAAGTCTGGATATGGGGATAACTAAGGATGAGGAGGGAGAAGGCTTGCATTTGTTAGAATCAGAGGGTAGTCCACATGTGGAAATGAGTGTCTAGACATCTAGTGATTATATGAGCGAAGATGTGCAGATCCAAGAATATCAAAGATGGAGGGAAGGAAATGGAATCTTAGACACTGAAACTCTGGTGATTCAGCCAGTGGAAAATCTACAGATCCCAAAGGTAGAAGAAGCAGAGGCAGTGACAAAAGGATCTCAGGTGGAGAGATCCTAAAATCCCCAGGGCAAAAGACGGCAGAATAAATGAAACTTTGTTTTGTTTTGTTTTTCCCATTGAAAAATGTCCATTAGAAAACACACAAAAGGATGCACACTTTATTGAGACAACACTGGGGTTGGGGAGAATCCTGCTCCCCGGGGATTAGGGACACACTGTAATCTACCACACAGAGGATGTGAGAGAGGGGAGGGTTATATACCCTTCCAGGATATATGATTATACCCTGAGGGCCTGGAAACAGAGGGAGGAGATTCCTAGCTCAGTAGAAGGGAAAAAAGGAAAAGAGGATAAATAGGTTGGGTGAGGAAGGGACACAGGTTGGGAAAGGATTGGTACACACTCATCTCAAGACAATCTGAGAGCACAAGCACACACCATCATCTAACTAATTATGTGGAAGAGGGGATACTGGGATCTAGTAGATCCTTGAGACCCAGGTTTATTTCTTTGTATATGAGTAGAGGTAACCCCAAGAAAGATCCTCTCAGAGGATGCTGTTAAAGTGGTAGTAGTGGCGATTTCCCTGTGGAAATCCCAACAGGGCCATAATCCTGGTTTTAGAACAGGTCCTATACAGAGATAAGTATTAAGGAGCCCTGATACAACCCCAATTGGCTCTCTCCACACTACCTTTTGGAATTTAAGAGCTTTGCAAAGTTGAGTGGCTCCCTTTGGAAATCAGGTTAATTTCTGAAGGATGTTACCTTAAAAAAAGGGAGCATGACTCCTTGGGGTTGGGTTGTGGAGGGGAAGGGAGTTTGGAGGCCAAAGGAGTGGAATAATACTGATCTAAAGGGAAATCCAGCTCCAATGAATGTTACACAGGAAATAAGGGAACTAGGCCAACTATACCTACTTCTGGGACAAGGATCCTTCAAGGATGTGGTAGAGGAGGGTAAGGTCTACTAGTTTTTCTACAATACAGACCTGGCATCTGTGAAGTGAGTTTTAAAAACTACCTTGTAACTGTATTTTATCATATTTTCCATTGTAATCCTATTGTTTTGTTTTGTGTATTTAAAAAAAGTTATTCTGAGAAGGGGTCCATAGGTGTCACCAGACTGCCAGAGGGTTCCATGACACAGAAAAGGTTAAGAACCCCTGTTAACCTGGCAGGATCCTGGGTAGGTTTCAGTGTATTAACTAATTAATCCAACAGAGCTTCCATCTATTAGTTAGGAAAAGTGTTCAGAACTCAATTAGAGAATAAGAAGAAGGGGTTACTCTTGGGATTAATAAAATAGGGATGGGAATAGCATATTTGTTATTCTGCTGCTGGATTAACCTAGCAAGGGGTTAGGAGACTTTGATTCTAAGTGTTAGGGCTCCAGCGCATCCTGGAAAATTAAATGGGAAAATGGATCCTTTCAGAATTAGGTGGTCTTAAGTGGGAAGGAATAACTATCAATATCTGTTATTTTCAGGTCGAGTGAGGGAACTGTGGAAGATATGGAGGGACAGGATGAAGGGAGAGGAAATGAGAAAAGAGAGAAACAGAGAATCAGAGATAAGACAGCCAAGGATAGAAATTAAAGAGATACCCCCCTCCCCTACCTGTAGGCAAGTACCATTAGTATGCAAGGGAAAGTGGGTAAAATGAGTACCATTTTCTTATCAACATCCTAAGTCAAGATTCCACAATTTACTGGTTAGTGTCATTCTACCAAAACAAATCCCAGGCATATTATTTACCTCTCTTCATTCTTATGATTTTAAAACTGCTTGCTTTTGAGGATGCATACTTTCTCCTCCCTTTCCCTGCCATTGCAAACTATTCTTGGGATCCATAAGGGCTTTGCCACTTCTTCCCTTCCGACAAGTCATATCCAACACTCTACACTCCATTCTGTCAATTTCTAGGTTGCCCCCTTTTGATTCTAACACTGTAACATCTCTTCTGACAGTTTCAAATCTCTTCCCAACTCTACCTCCATGCCAAGGTCTTAATTACCTGGTACGCCTGCGTTGGGCTGGGCTGCCTCCAGGGTCAGTTGAAAGCAGCAGGCGGGCAGTAGGATGTGGGGGGCAGAGCCGAAGAGACCGTAGCAGTTCTTGCTCTGGCAGAAAGGGGCGGAGGGGACCTCGGTCTGGAGAATTGCCCAGGCTGCTGGACCGTGGGGGTGGTCGGGCTGGAGGTGTGGCACGTCGGGGGGCTCTGTTCAAGGGCCATGGAGGCTCTACAGCCACCTTCAGAACTAAGGAAGAGACAGAGACAAAGAAAAGATGGGAAAAGAGCAAAAGAAAGAAAAGAGAGAGGGTATATAATGCTGCAGAGAAGAGACAGGAAAATATCAGACCCTAAATGGGGACTGACATTCCTCTTTTTCTTTTTTTTTTTTGGTGAGGCAATTGGGGTTAAGTGACTTGCCCAGGGTCACACAGCTAGTAAGTGTTATGTGTCTGAGGCTGGATTTGAACTCAGGTCCTCCTGAATCCAGGGCTGGTGCTCTATCCACTGTGCCACCTAGCTGCCCCCTCCTTTGTTTTTAACCCCTCATCCACGACCCCAGCCCCTGCCCTCACCCCTGCCCCTCTTACATTCTCGGTCACTAGAAGAATATGGTTTAATCTCTCCTTCTGCCTTCTTGGGGGGCAGCTTTCTGGCTGGAGCTGGAGGGAGAGAGGATATGGGCAGAATGAGCACTAGGGAACAGATCTTTTCTCAACAGCTCCCCACTTCCCTTCACTGGGAAAAAACAAAACAAAACACCACTCCCTGATGTCATGGTTCCTCTATCTGCTGTTAGGATGCTGAGTCAACCTCCACCCTTAGAATCAGCTTCATGAAGTATCTACAAATTGATAGGGATACCCAAGGATAATGGAACAGTTGGGAGGTAAACAGAAGGGAGTATTCCAAGCAAGAAGTCAGGGGAGAGAAATCAGAAAGGAGAATTTTGGGAGATGCAGGAAGGACATAGCCACTGAAGCAGAAGGGTGGAGCTTCTTACTGGTCAGAGGGTGGTGTCAGGCACCCTTGAGAATCTGGGGCAGTAGTATGGTTCCGGCCTGGGCAGTAAGGACCCTGGGTCCCTCTAGATGAGATGGACAAAGTCCGTGGTTAATCAGGAGTTAGTCTGAAGGGGCTGGGAAGGTCAGAGAATAACCTCTCTGTTTTGGCCACAGGTGAAGAAGAGATTTTAGTAGAAAGAGGAATGTGAAGCAAAGACTACAAAGTAAAGGACCAGGAGCATACCACGGATTGCCCTCACCTCTCCGCTTGCTCCCTGAGCCTCTCATCTGAAGAAACTCAACTTACGTTATTTGCAGCATATCACTTTCAATCTCTTATTGAGTTTACTACCTCTTCAGCTGACAATTTAAGCCTCTCAGTATTACTGATTTTTGATGTTGACATGATCACCAGCTCTGCTGACTTTCACTTTCTTGACTTTCACTCTCTTATACAGTCTGCAGCCTACAGCCCTGAAAGAGCTAGAAGGGAAAGCCTTAGAAACCAAACTGGTTACACTTCCTTGTATCCAGTAAGGAAAAGTGTGAGACAATCAAAAAGCAAACTGAAAAATTGATCAATCAGGCTGGGACTGTGCAACTAACTGAGAGTTTCAGCATTCCATGTGTGATATCTAAGGGGATTAGGATTTTGCAGACAGGATGGGAAAGGTTTCTAGCTAGTCTCTGCCGAGTAGCTTCATTGTAAGAGTTGTTTTAACTTTCACAAATTATGAGGGCACCTTAAATCATCCTATAATATAAAAGCTTATTCCAGCTGAAGATGGAAAAGTGGCACAGTTGACTCCTCATAACCTAAGGGAAATGTAAAACACTTCTGAGAAATCTGCTCAAAGAATATTGCTTCAAGTACTATATACCATCAATAATCAAACCAGAGTGTTTAATTAAAAATCATGCCTGAAACAGAACTTGTCATATTCCCAGATATCAAAAGTAATCATCTAAATGACTCTTGGAACCTTGAATGGCTTTCTTTCCCATTCTTAATAGCTATCCCATCACAGCTGCCTCTAAAATGATGTTCAACCTCTAAACTACAGTTCAAATTTACCATTGGGTGTGTTATCAACCGAGGCAGCACGAGAGCAGCGAGTCGCCCTCAGAGAGGGAGCAGGGGACCCTGTGGGAAAGGAAGTGGGGGTTCCCTTAGTCAAGGAAAGGGAGCAATGGGACAAATGGACCTACCCCCTACCCCCAACTCTAGGACTGAGGAGGGAGAGGAAGACTCACGGTGCTGGTGGGCGAAAAAGCCTTCAAAGATCACAAAGTTGTTCACCTGCATGTTGGAATGAGAAAAATTAAGTCACTTATTCAGTCATTCAAAAACATAAATGGAGTACTCCCTATCATCCAAGAAACAAGGGAGGGCGGAAAATAATGATAGCTAGCATTTATATAGTACCTACTATGTGTGAGACATGGTTCTAAGCATTTTACAATTATTATCTTAAATTTTCACAACAACATTGGTAAGTAGGTGCTATTATTATCCCCATTTACAGTTGAGGAAACTAAGGCAAAAACAGGGGTTAAGTGACTGGCCCAGGGTCACATAGCTAGGAAGTATCTGAGGTCAGATTTGAATTCAGGTCTAGGAGAGAAAAGTCCTTGCACTCTATATCCAATAGAAGCATCAAAGACATAATTCTTATTCTTGGAGTAATCATCATAATGATGAGAAAGGATACATACATATACATGATAGATTGAAGATAAGTTACAAAACATAGGATCACGTGCAGATTGAGTAGCATTAGAGACATGCCAAAAAGAGACAATTAAGACATTATTTGAAAGGAGTGGATAGGCATGCTAGGAATGAGCTTTCAAACATCACTTGGAGGAAAGGACTGTGTACTGTGGGAAGACATTCTGATTGTGGGGAATGGCTTGTATAAAGGCAAGATTGTGAAATGATGAAGTTGTCTGGGTTACAGGGAAGATGAATTTGGCTACAGCACAGGAGCCAAGATGGGGAGCCAATATACATGAGGGTAAGATGGACAGAGAAGATGGAAGCTTAGTACAGTACCTAGCACATAGTAGGATGCTTAACAAATATTTACTGACTGACTGGAAGAGCCTTGGAACTGAGTATAGATTGCACATAATAGAGATGAAAAATTCCTGATAGTCCCCAACAAAGAATAAATTTAATTGGTAGGTTCTTCACTCTCATCTGTTCTAGGGTCACATTTCCTAGGGCTTCTAACCTGTGGCACGGTGGACTCCAGATTGTAGTGTTTATTCAAGAACCTCAGCAGCTTCTCTGAGGGTCGGTCAATAGCTAGTTGGTGTGGTTCAACTCGTTCCTTCTGCAGGATAAAAGAACTTCAGAGGATGGTACAGAACTGGAGAATAAATTTCCAGGGACACTGGGTTCACAGAAGCATTTGGCAGTTCAGGAGGAGACAAGTGGTCTAAGAGACAGCGGCAACAGCACAGGGGATTTTAATTTGCAATCTGAAAGCACTTTAAAATTAAAGCTAGTAGTCATACCTCTAACATATACCGGAAAAGTTTCAGCCCATGGCCATGGCGCTGCAGTGACTCATGGATATAAAAGTCCAGTATGCAAAGTGGCTCTACTTCATTATGAGCCCCACGATCATCCTGTTGGGAGGGGTGGATATGAGTTGAGAGAAGTAAGGAGGAATAAATGACTTTAAGGGCTTAGGCATCTCTACTTCACCCCATCCCCATCCCCATCAGACTCAGAAACCGAAGCATACTATCCCATAACTCACCAGAACAAAGAGTTTCTTATATCCAACTTTGAGAAAGCCAATAATAGCTCCTTTTCCAGCCCTGTGGGAAGGGGAGAGAGCGGGAGAACTCATAGCTTATCATGGAGAGGGAAGAAAGGGAAGAAGAGGGAAAAGAAGGGGAAAGAAGGAAAAGGAAGATTATGTAGCTAGAAGGTATTAATAAAGAGAAAGAATAGAGAGACATAATGGGACAGCACACTGGAGTCCAGCACTCACGGACGGGCTGAGGTATCCTTGAGCACATACATAACATGCCGGTTACTCTGCATTCTTGAAGCACTGGTGATGGGACCAGGAAGATGCTGTGCCTAATAAGGTGGAAAAATTTAAGTATGTCCTTCTTAAGACCTTCCTTCATCCCTTGGCCCCTTCAAAGCCTCTCAGGTCACTCAGGGATGGGGTCTACAGGCCCTCTTCCTGTCACCCTTCTTGGTCCCCATAATGAGATTTCTTTCCAGTACCTTGGCTGATGCCTTTCCCAGTTCATCGACAACAGTCATGATTTGCTGCTGGAGATCAACACTGCAGAGAGAGGAGAAACATAAGTCACTGAACCAGCCTGCATGTCCAGGGAACGGTCCCAGGGAAGGGGGAGCTGACCTTAACTCTAGATCTAGGTTTCCACCTTCAAGCACCTCTGCCTCAAGTCTCCTTCATTCCTGATTTTGCACTCTTGGACCCTGACTGTCCTCCCCATCCTTCCAGTCCTCATCCATACCCCGGTGGAACTTGTAGGAATGAGGTGGATTGATGCCAAAGGGTTCAAAACCCTGTACCAGCCCAGGGTAATGAACGAGGTGGGGGTCAGCAGGTATTCCCACCATGTGGATTAAAAAGCACACTCCACCTTGTAGTTGGAACCAAACAATGGACTAGAGGATGAAATGTCACAGAACCATGCATCGCCCTAACTCTACCCTTTGACTTGGGGTGGAGGGTCATGTGGAGAGGTCGGGGCAAATGTGGGTGAGGCAAAGAGGGGCGTGGTCAGCGGATGAAGAGTAAGAGGTCACCGAGCCGAGGTTGTGGTTCCGGTTCGGCGGGCCGGAGCACGGAGGTGTTGGTCCAGTATGGTAATCGGCTCCGGGAACAGGGCGTCCACATCGAACGGGAACTCCATGGCCCATTGTGCGCTCCCAGCCACGCCCCCCAAGCAGTACTTCCGACCTAGAGCCCCGCCCCTTCCGGCTCCCTGCCCACTAGCCGAAGCCGGGCTACGTAGCCCTAGCTACACCTCGTACTTCTTTCTTCCAGCGTCATAGCAACCGGCCGGAGGATCCCAGTCCGGACCCCACCGCTCAGACGAACATTCTGTTCTTTCCACAAAGCCAGTTGTGTGGCCAAGTGACCCCTTCTCCCTTCTCTCCCATGGTTAAAATACCCTAGTGCTCCCTCCCACAGCAGTCTTCTTTTCTGCTCAGAATTTGGGTAACCACGTTACCCGATAGCCCCATCGTGCCCCATTTCCACCTTAAAAAAACCAACCAACCAATTTTTCTTACACATCCATATTCCGTTCTAACTGGAGAAATCAATCTCAGAACGATATTTGATCTGGACTTGTGATTTCATCAACGGAGAAAATCACCGATACAGATCCACTCATACACAACTCACTCTGAAATCACGATGCATAAATAGTGAAACTCCACTGTCTCAACAACATTCCCTAACCCTCCCACCAAACCCATACATTTTTAGGCAAATGTACAAGTGTCTACCTCCTACAATCTAAAAACAGACACATGTATAATAAAAGAATTTTTATTATAAAGGGTTGACTTGACAAGTTAGGCACCCCCAATCCCTACAACTTAAGAATAAGGTGGGGGGGGGGGCGAGGTGTTTGCAGCATAAAGGGAAATCGACCAAAAACACTTATTCAGGCACACTTCATTTTACCTTCTCCCTGTTTTCTCCTTTCCTCTATGTCAAGAGCTTGCCACTATCCTACCCATTTCTAAAAATGGTAGGGATAAGGACCAGTTCAGTTTAGGCAACAGGACTTTGTAACATCCATCCCTTAAGCTCTGGAGCACCAGAGTACATCTATCACTTCCTTTCTACTGGACACTCCTGTATTCCTCTCCCTCAGTGAGAATGTTAGTTTGAGATGGAACTATGGGTATCATATCTGGTGGGGGTCCACTCTCTTCCTTAAGGTGGCCTTGATATAGACGTCGAAGCCGGGCCAGCTCTCTCTCAGGTGGCTGCTGCCAATTGTACCATGGATACCAGGAGGTACCTGTAGCTACTGCAGGCGCCACTGGGGTACAGCCCACAGCTCCATGGGAGTTGCTGAAATCAGTATCCCGTGGCTGTACCAGTGGGATGTGGTAACTGAGAAAACCTAGGGAGATGGAAAAGGAATAAAATAGAAGGCCCTGTAATTAAAGAAGGCAGTAAATGGGGTGTCATGAGGTAAGGAACAATTGAGAAATGAAAAGTGTGGAAGATGTAAGGTTGATTGATGAAGTTTAGGGAGAAAAGACAAGGCATTGACACTGAAATGCTAATGTACAGAGAAAAGACAACAGGAAGAGAAAGGTCCATATCCCTTTTCAGACTTTCAGAATTTGAACTTCCTTATCCCTTACCACCCCAACACACTCTTCTCTCCAGGCACAGGTCCTCTTCCCACTTCTAAAATACCCTGTGTCCCTTTTCTGACTCTCACCATGGTCTCTGGCCTTCAGGATGGCCTCGGTCAGCTTCTTATGCTGCTTCATACAGACACCTTGTAAAAGGAGAAAATGAGGGAGGAAAAAAGAGAGAGAACACAGTCACCTTATATCGCCATAATATCAACTACCATAATGTTGCCTCTGGGAATGGTACAGGGTGGTAGTGGGCTAGGACTTTAGGAAGGAGGATTCTTCCCACTGTACAGATTAGGAACTTAAGGCCCAGAGAAGGTAACCAGTGGCAAGGGTGGATCCAAGTCTCACATCTAAACGGAATGAGGACATGTGGAAACAACCAATGTAATAAAAAGAAGGAAAATTCTTGGAATTGAAGGTTAGGGAGGCCCCAGGGAAAGAGAGGTCTAGGGGAAAACTATTCAAAGGAGAGGGAGCTATAGAGCAGAATATGGCAAGAGGCCAACACTTGCTCCTTCCCTCCTTTGAGGACCATTATCTGATTAACCACACTCCACAGTGACCATCATTGCAACACCTTGGTACTTGTGGGCTTGTTTGTACAATTCAATTCAAGCATTAAATGCCATGTCTTCTGTAACAGATGTGGTGGATCAAATTTTAGGAAGTGAATCCCATTTAAGTGCTCAAGAAACTATAAAATTTAAAGAAATCTGAAGATTCAAAGTGAAATGTCTGTCCCTTTGGATATCAATTATCCCTTCATTTACCTTTTAGATATAGCTCTATTTCCCAAAGTTGGGTTTACTTAAAATAGGGAACACATAACATTTTGCCCTTGTTCACATCCAAGTCTTGATACACATTTATGTGTAATCCTTTCTATCTTTTCTATTACACTGGAAATTTTCCAAAGGCTGGAACCTATATCCTCTATGCTTTCTGTAGGTCTCTAAAAAAGCCTAAATGAGGAAAGGAATTGTTCTCAGTGGAAGCAGGAGAATATAAGGGGAAAATGACACCCTAAAGGGTTGGGATCTAACCTGTATATGGGGCATGGAAGATGACACCTGTGTGAGCACAGACAAACTGCTCCAAGAGCTTCACATTCTGAAGAGAAAGAAATAGAAGGAAATGGGGATTGCAGTAATATCAGAAAAGGCAGCAAGAAATAGTGCTTCCTCCTTTTAGAATAGCACATCCTTCCATATCCTATTCCAAACTTCCCAATCTTCTCCCATATTCAAGCCTCAACCCATCTGTGAAGTCTCCCCTGATTCTAAGATAACAGTGCTCTACCCTTCTCGAGTACACCTAGTACCCAAAGCCTATATCAAACACTGTTATGGCAAATTAAGCTCCTTTTTATATACTACTATTGCAAAATTCTTTTATTCTTTCCTGTGGGCTGGAGAGATGAAACATGATTAATTAATCAAAAAATATTAAGTGCCTACTACGTGCAAGACACTGGGAATACAAAGACAAAAAACAGTCCTTGACCTCATGTAAAGAAGGACTTGAAGTTCTAGAAGACTTGAATTCTAGTCCAGATTCTGCCACTTGCTAGCCATGTGACCTTGAGTAAGTCACTTATACCCACTCCGCAGAAAATGAAATTCATAGTTTATCTACTTTGTATAGGGCTGTGGTATGACTTATCTCTCTCCAATATGTGTGATGTCTACCCAGTGGAAGTGTCCAGGCCCAGGCCTCCTAGAGTTGGGGTTGCTCCCAGGAGGAAGGATAACCACACTTGGACCTCAAGACCTGGAAGTTCAAGCTCCCATAACTTGTCTCATGTAGCCTCATCCTGGCAAGCCCTTTGGCTCTTTCAAATAGATCCCTCATTTTCCCCAGGGAATAATGAAGGTTAGCTAATGCCCCAGAGCATATAAAACCATCCAGTGTTAGTGAGGAGAGCCATAGTCACTTTGCACGTTGTCAAATCCTAAGAATAATAAAGGTGATAATGTCCCAAATACCCATCTTTCTACCTTAACATTATTGAACAGTTGGAGGGCAGATAGGAATGCTTTGACCAAAGTTTTGTTTCCATTTCTCTTTTTATGCAGACAAAATACCAAATCTGGAAATCCTACAAACTTGAAACTCACCCATTTTCTAGGGCCAGAAGAAACCTTATACTGAGTCCTTGTCATTGGAGGAGTGAATAGAGGTGAGACGAACCCTTGTAAAGGATTTTGGAAGAGTGAATTCTCGTTTCAGGAAGGGACTGATTAAATGACTTCTGTAGTCACTAAAATTGTGATGGTGATAATCTGGCATGTCTCCCTAGTTCTTAAAAGACAATACTCCCTAGGGACAGCTAAGGGGTGCAGTGGATAGAGCTCCAGCGTTGGAGTCAGGAGGGCCTGAGTTCAAATCTGGCCTCAGACACTTGACACTAGCTGTGTGACCCTAGGCAAGTCACTTAACCCCAACTGCCTCACCAAAAAAAAAAAAAAAAAAAAGACAATACTCCCAAGGCAGTTTATCTTTTATTCTTCCTTTATACTACTGCCCCCAACCTTCTATTGCCCCATTACTCACATTACTCAAGGCTTCACATGCATCTAAATGAAGTTAGAGAAAAACCACAAAAGTGTGCTGACTTGAGTCCACTACAAATTTATGTTAAATAATATCAATTCGTCCCTCACTGCAACACGGCAATCCTTTTACAACTTCCTAATCAATTCACTATCCCAGTCACCACACTGGCCTTTCCCAAACACTTCCTCACACCTATGGCTTTTTTTCCTCTATTCCCCCACTTTTATCCTCTTAGTTGAGAACCTTTGTTTAAACCTCACTAAAAAAAATGAGGCCATTAGCCAAAAGTTCCTTCTTCTCTCCTCATCGCCCTATCACTCAGAATGCCTTCCCCCACAATCTCCTCCTTCACCTCTTCACTAGAAGAGGTGGCCTCTCTTTTTGCAAAAGCAAACCCTTCAGCCTTCACAAATGATCTCAGTCTATTCCACCTTCTCTGGCAGAGTGCTTTTCTATTAATGCTCACTTTCTCACTAAATTTCAATTCTCCTTGTCTATTTGGCCATTTTCCTGCTGCCTACAAAACATGCCCATGTCTCCCTCATCTTCAAAAACCCTCCCTTCATACATCCATCCCTGATAGCTATCACCCTATATCACTCCTCCCTTATGTGACTAAACTCCTAGAGAAGGCTGTTTACAACTGGTACTCCCTTACCTCTCATTCTCTTCTTAATTTTCTACAGCCTGGCTTTCAACCTCATCATTCAACTGAAATTGCTGTCTCTGAATAATCTCTTAATTGCCAAAATCACACAGCCTTTTCTCAAACCTCATCCTTCTTGACCTCTTCAGCCTTTGATACTGTTAATCAACAGTCAATAAATATTAAGCATCTATATTAGATGCTAAGTGCTGGGATAAAACAAAACAAAACAAAACAAAAAACAGTTCTTGATCTCAGAAAGTAGAGGCAGGGATGATGAAGTAGTCAGGGAAGTCCCAAAGTAGTGAGAAACAAGATGTATGAGCTAATGCATGGTCTCTCCTTAAATGGAGGCTTGGAGTTTATAGCCATACTCTCCAATCAGAGAAGCCAGAGTAGTCATGAAGTAGAGTATCAAGGCTGACGAGATCTTGCAGGATGATGAAGTTATCCCAGTAACAAGCTATCTGGGGCAGAGTGGAGAAGTCAGTGTTGTTCAGTCATGTCCAACTCTTTATGACCCTATTTGAGTTTTTTTTGGCAAAGATACTGGAGTGGTTTACCATTTCTTTCGCCAGCTCATTTTACAGACTGGGGAAACTAAGGCAAACAGGGTTAAGGGACTTGTCCAGGGTTACATGGGGACAGCTAGTTGACAAAGTGGATATAGTACTGGGCCTATAGAGTTTGAATCTGGCCTCAGACACTTATTAGTTATGTGACTTTTGGCAAGTCTTAATCTTGTAATCTGTAAAATTATCTGGAGAAGGAAATGGCAAACCACTTTAGTATCTTTGCCAAGAAGAGTTGGACTGAAACACCTCTCAACAACAACAATCAGGGTCACACAGCTAGTAAATGTCTGAAGCCAGATCTGAACTCACTAAGAAGTTTTCTTGACTCTAGGCCTGGCGCTCTATTCATTGCCCCACCTAGCTGCCCCCCAGAGATGTCAGTGAGAGAAGTCTTAAAGTGGCAACTAGGTGAGAAACGATCTTGATATTCTCTTCTTTAGGTTTTCGTGACCCTGCTCTCCTCTGGCTCTCCTCCTATTTATCTGACTACTACTTCTTAGTCGTCTTTGCTGGATACTCATCCCGGTTTTGCCTGCTAACCTGGAGTGTCCCTCCAAGGCTCAGCCCCAGGCCCTCTTTCTCTTCTTCCTCGATGCTCTTTTGCTTGATCTCATCAGTTCCCATGGATTCAAGTATCATCTCTATGGAGATGATACTTCCTTGCTCAATAAACTTCAGGAGCTCCCAATTACTTCTAGTATCGTAGTAGAATCATAAATCTAGAGCCGGAGAAGCTCTAGAGGCCACACAGTCCAATCTATTTAAAAGATGATAAAACTAAGCCCCAGAAAGATGAAAAGATTTGCCCATGATACCACATACAGCATCAGAGTAAAGACTGGACTTGGATCTTCTGACTCCATAGTCATTGGTCTTTCCACCACACCTTGTTACCCCCTGATGAAACACAACTACTCTATTTGGCATTCAAAGTCCTTTATGACCTGGCTCCACCCTACTTTTCTAGCCCTGTAAGGCTCCCATTGCTCCCCTTCACACACGCTCTTCAGTCTAACCAAGCTGGCTTACTTGCTGTTTTTCCTGTAGAAAAAACTATCTCCAGGCCTTTGCACAGGCTGCCTCTCCATGTCTGGAATACAGTCCCTTCCTCATCTCCGTATCACAAAATCCCCAGTTTCCTTCCAAGTTCAGTTCAATACCACCTCCTACATGAAGCTTTTCCTGATTCTCTACTCCCTTCCTCAGGTGCTAGTGTCCCCATAATTATCTTGTATCCCCAGTTCCTACAATATAAGTACATTAACTCCTATTAATTGAAATATAGCATTTTAGAAAGGGAACATTTGAAGTGGCTTCTGGATATAACTAAGAAAAGATGTCAAAGTGGTTTCCTTATATCCACTCTCAATTAAAAGTTGGAAAATGTGGAGATTCAGTTTAATAAACATTTATTAAATACGTAACAATGCCAGGCATTGTGCTAGGCACTGAGCACATGAAAAGAATATAAAGAAGTTCCTACCTGTAAGGAGCTTATAAATCTTACTGAGACCTACAATATGCAAACAGACATGTAACTACAATATAATTTGAATAACGAAGAGACCAATAACAACTGGGAGGATGAGAAAAGGATTTCCACAGAAGGTGGCATGAGACCTGAAAGAAGCTAAAGATTCTATGAGATAGAAGTGAAGAGGGAAGCATATTCTAGATACAGAGGACAGCAGAGTAGGCCATTTATTGGAACATGCGGTAATTATAGGTAAACGAAAAGGAGTAATTCACAATACATCCAAAGGTGGGTTGGGCTTTAAATAGCAAGATGAGGATTTTGCATTTTATCCTAGAGGCAACAGATAGCCACTAAAGATTCCTGAGGAGGGAGGTGTGCTTTAGGAAGATTATTTTGGTACTTGTGTGAAGGATGAATTAGATAGGACAAAGATGGAAGCAGGGAGACGAGAGCACTCCTGCAACAGTCCAGTCAAGAAGTCAGTAAGAACCAGAACTAGGCTAGTGGCTCTAAGTGGCATACTAAGAAGGGGATGGACACAAGAGATGTTGTGGAGATAACACTCAGAAAGACTTAATAACAGACTAGATATGGCGGGGGGGTGAAGGAAAGTACAGTTGAGGATAAATACTGCAAACCTGGGTGACTAAAGTGACTAAAAAGTACCCTTAAAAAAAAAGAGGAAAGAAAAAATAAACTTGGATAAAACTCAGATTGAGTAATAGAAATAACGAATTCTAGTTTGGACATGTTAACTTGGTATGTTTATAAGTCATCTACATAGAGAAGTTCAATAGTGATGTGAAGTAGAGTTTGGAAGAGAGTATAGGACTAGATACAGATTTGGGAGTTACCTGAACATAAAGAGGAGAGAGCTCTGGACTAAGTACTAGGGAGTACCCATGGTTATGTATAGAAAGAGGTAGATGACCAAATAGCAGAAAAGGATGAAGAAATTAAGAGAGAGTAGACTCAAAGTCAAGAAAAGAAAGTTCCTAGGAGAAAAAGGGGTGGTTAAAAGGGTCAAAAGTTGGTATGTAGGTATGATTTCTCCATTTTATAGATAAAAAAAAATCGAGACAGAGGCTAAATGACTTATCCAGGGTCACACACATAAGTGTCTGAGGCAGAATTCTATCTGAGGTCTTCCTGACTCTGAAGTCCTATGCCAGGGGTGGGGAACCTGGGGCCTCAAGGCCACGTGTGGCCCTCTAAGTCCTCAAGTATGGCCCTTTAACTGAATCCAAATTTCATAGAGTAAATCCCCTTAATAAAATAACTTGTTCTGTAAAACTTGGATTTGGTCAAAAGGCCTCGAAGTCGAAGGTTCCCCACCTCTATACCTACGCTTTATCTACTGTGCCACCTAGCTGCCTGCAATGATGAGGTAAAAGGTAAAAGCCACCTCCTTTTTAGAAACTGGAGCAAAAAATAGGGGATAACTGTCAGTCATTTTGAGGTATAAAGGAAGGGGACTATAAAAATATCATTACTTAAGCACAGTGTATATACCCTAGTCCCTGAGGTGGGTAAAGAGTGCAGTGAAATTTGAAGGTTCCTTACTCTAAAGTCCACATGGAGCTTCTGATCTCGGCAGATGGGGCAAGGGTTCCCAGCAACTTTGTTCCCTCGCTGTAAGACATAAAGGAAATGGGTAGAAACTTCAGGAATTAGCATCAATGCCTCTTGTCAAGGTCCCTCCAATCCCACCTTGTTACCCTTGAATCTCTGTGCCAGAGACCCAACTCCTCTTCCTAACTACTCACAATGCATGTCTTTCGGGTTCGCTGTGGTGGTATGCCACCTTTGTGGTTTCGTCGATAGTCAGCCCAGACTGGACGGGAGCCATATCGAGCTAGGTATTCTAGAAAGGAAAGGAAAGCACAGGACAGGACAGGAAGGAGAGGGGAGGAGGAGGAAGAGAGAAATAAGAATTTATTAAGTGCTTGTTATGTGCCCAAAACTATGCTAAACACTTTACAAATATCTCATCTGATCTATAATAATTGCTAGAAACTAACTTTAGGGCTCCACTCTACCTTTGCAGCCTTAGTTCATATATATCCCTTTAGGTTTAGGACCTAAATCCCCTTAATAAAAGGATTTGTTCTGTAAAGTTTGGATTCAGTCAAAGGGCTACACTTGAGGACCACATGTGGCCTCAAAGCCACAGGTTGCCCACCCCTGCTTTAGTTGCAAACTAAAACTCACAAAATTGCCCTAGATATTCATGCCTTTGCTTATACTATTCTCTATGCCTGGAATGTCTGCTTTTCCCCTCCATCTCTTGAAATCCTACCCTATCCTTCAAGACCCAACTAAATTGCCACACCTTTGAAAAGCATTTCTTATATTGGGTAGTAATCCTTTCTACCTTTCTCACCAGAGAATTTTAGAAAGTCCTTTTTTTGTACCTCTTTTCTATACTAATCATTTTCAATTTTTTGTTTGTTTTAGTAATCTTCAAATACTTATCACCTCCCCTACTGTATTTTCCCGAGAGATGATCCCCCTATCATACTTGCATTCTTTCACTAAATATTTAATAAACATCTATTTCAGCACTTTGGTAAGTGCTGAACATAAAAGTTTAACAAAAAAACTGATTTTCTTGCCCTCGTGGAATTTATATTCTATAAGACTCAAAGACTGATAACTATAATATACAATTATATATAACAAATATATCAGAATCCCAAAACAAAATGTTACCTAAGAAAGAGTTCAGGAAGGATGTTACCAAGAGGAAGAAGCGGGAAAGAGGAGGATATACAGAAATTCAACATGTTCTAGGCAGTACAGTCATAGGGAATAGTGTGTAAAAAAAGTTGAGGTTTGAGTATAGTACAGTGTATGTAAAAGTTAAGGAGAGAAATAATAGATAAGGCTGGAGAGACGGAGGATTGTTAAATTGTACAAAACTCAGTGATTTGCATTTGGTTCAGCGTTCGCTGAAGGATAATTAAGAAGAACAAGAACAAATTCTTAATATTATCCATTCTTCACTTTAGGTTCTGAATTGATTTTTCTGCCTCCTCTTATTCTCCACATTTTCCCTTCCCTCTTCCCACACTCTTCTTATGGTGGTACCTTCTGTTTCCAGATATTCCCAGGGAGCATCCTGATAGAGGGAGACAGGAATGGAAGATTCTTCCTCAGGGGAAGCTTTGGTGCATAGTGCCCGGGAAGTAGCCTATGAAAAAGAAAAGGGGAAGGTTTAGGAGGGAAATTAGATATCTTGTTCGTCATCCCCCAAACCTCCTTCAAGAAATCTTGAGGTTCTGTACAGGTGTCAAAACTGGTGTAGTGACATATAGCAAGAATGTGTACAGAAATTAGACTTGATTTTAGCCCCAAAAGATTCAAAAGCAATAAAGTAATGTGAGCTGACAAATAGGGTAATTAAATTTTGGGAGAGTAACTGTATACAGGGTGTGCCAAAAGTCATAGTATAGTTTTAAGCAAGAGAGAAGAGCAAACCTATTTTGTCTATTCTTCCCTTTAGGTTCCACCCACAGGATTTAATTAAGATTAATCAAATTATAAAATAAAGATAAATTAAGAGAATTGGCATTAAGAAAAAGATTAAGGATACAAAAAATCTATATTCCTAGAAAAAAATTGATGTCAAAGGAAATATAAAGTGAACTAGATAGACGTTTCAGATGTTACCTAAGTTTCTAAGAGTTGGATAAAGTATCCAGGAAAAGGTTATGTTAGGATCACAGGATACTTGTGATACACATATGATCCCCATCTCAAATCTATCTCTGAATCACTGGTCTCACCCTGCTTTATAAAAATCAGTCTCCCATTCCACAAGAGTGAGCAATCTGAGTCCCAAAGCTGGAATCAAAGCTCTCAGCCCTGTAATTAACCCCATAATGACCTTAATCTCCACACCCTTGAGGCTAACTTGCCCCATTTGAGGGAATAGCAACTGTGGGAAGCAGCCCTCCCCTTTTTAATCACAGCTAAGGACCTTCAAGGTGGTGAGTAGTGAAGCCAGGGGGTTCAAGAGATTTGGCAGTAGGGACCTGGGGGAGGAATATCTAGAGGAGTTTTGGATTGTAGTCTGACAGGCAACAGACCTTCAGGACAAAAGGGACACGACAAAAGTATGTTAAGCTCTTCAGATCCTCCCTACGCCCATGAGGGTGGAGAGGTAAATACAGCAGTGTACCTGGAGGATCATAAGCCCCACTCAAGATGTCATCAAGGACCACTCCTTGTATTCAGTGGTTCACATACTGGATATACAAAGAGCTAGTTAAGCCTGTCTGTAATTGGATAGAAGGAGCTAGTTAACACTGGAGGAATTCTCCAGAGCTAATTAGCTATGTGGAGCAGGCATGGAATTCGAAGGTCAGACCTCTTTTTCCTCGTCCTCCACTACCCATCATGTGCACACTGTGCTGTGGGAGAGAAAGAAATGGGGGGGGGGCGGCTACAGCAACGTGGAGAGAGAAGAGCTCCTCCTGGGCCACCATGGCAACGCAGCACACCCATTCCTCCTCGCTGCCTGTTGCGTGGGCACGTTTAAAGGTACTCAGTAAATACAGACAAACCTTAGGAACTATGTAGTACCCCTCGGCACGCGCCCCAAGACCAGGGACAAGACGCAAGAGATTGGGTAGTGGGAATGCTGTAGCCAGAACGATCGAGATAGGAAAGCGCTGGGCTTTCTCCTCCCAGATCCTGGGCCGGGAGGGGAAGGGAAGGCAGCCAGTCGGAGCCAACTATAATCAGGGCCGCGTGCTGCGAGGGGGGAAGATAGCGGGAGAGAGGAAACTGCATAGATACCTGCACCCAATGGACACCTCTGACAGGTGTGAGGCCCGAGAGCCGCCTAAGAAGAGTTAGAAGAGAGGTCGCCATCTTGGTGTACGGATAAGGGAGGAGAGGGGACCAGAAGAAGCTGCGCATGTCTGTAAGCAGGCTGGGTGGGGCTAATGTGAGAAACGCGCCTTCCGGGACGTGGCCGTGCGCACACGCGTCAGTGCGTAGGGGCGAAGGTGACCGATTTTAACTGCGTCACAGCAAAATTCGCCTTCAAAATTTCTATTCCTGTAGCCAGTTCGCTATGGCTCCTAGGCCCACTACTGAATCTTTTGCTGCTGAACAATTTTGTGGTTGATTTTGGGCCCCGGTCCTACTAGTGCGCATGCGCTGGGTCGGTTAGGCCAACCAAGGGTGAGGCTTGACGGCGAAGGGGTGGGAAGGAAGAAGATCAGGAAAGGAAGGGAGGGCGGATCCCAACCAATCGTCTTAACCCTAGTCGCGAGCCGAGGGTTGGGTGTGGAGAGCGGAAGAGTGAGTTGAGGGATAGGTGGAGCGTAGGTTGTGGTAGGACAGCCAATCAGCTTGTTGTTCCTTGATGTCGTTGACCAATTAGCTTGCGTGTCGCGCGCAATTCGGTATCTCGTGAGCTCGCTAGTGTGCGCGGGGCGGTGCCCTTATATAAAAGGTGTCGTCCGAGCGAGCCGCCGCCATTCTGGGGTTCGTTTAGAGGTAAGTACGGGTATTTTTTCGGTTGGTATGTTGCGTGGCGGCTTAGTGCTAGAGTAGCGAAATGGCGGCGGGGTGACAGTGAAATTTATTTTAGTTTTTCTTAGGTCTTGGAGACCGGAGGGGTGCGTCTTGGGAAACTTCTCAGGCTATAAACGAGATGCAAAGGGATACTAAAGCCAACAGTAATGACATTTTCGTTTCCTCCTCTATTTTCCTCTTCCCAGGTTCGAATTTAATCGGAGGAAACAGCCCGGCCACGAGGAAAAAAGAAACAGCCGTAACAGCATCTAAAGGATCCTTCGAGGGGGGGAGCAGCAGCTACCAACCCAACCACTTGTGTCTTCTCTGCCCCATCGCCCTATCTTGTTTCCCGTCCCCTCTCCCAGCCCAAGCTGCTTGGGACTCAAATCTGTGGCTGAAGGACCATCACCACAAAATCTATCAAAAATAATCAACTACCCTTACTCCAACTCCCAAGTCCCGTCAAATCTGCCCATCCAGCGTCTCCTTTTTGAATCCACTCAGTTTTTTTTTTTTTGTTTAAGACCCTCTCCTTAAGTGGAGGGGGTAATGAATCCTGAGTTGGCTTTATTTTTTAAAAGATTTTTTGATCCAATGAGGTCCCCCAAGTAATTAAGCTTTGGGTCCTGGTTGGTTTTATTTTTTTCTCCAAATTTTAACCCCCCCCTGAGCCCGAGGTGCTGACGTCGCAAAAAAATTGGATAGTAAGTGTCGAATTTTCAAAACCAGCATTACAACAAGAAATCAACGTTTCCCGTTGTGAAACAAAAAAAAAATATGAGAGGAAGAAATGAGATCGTAGACAAATAATAATTGAGCTGGAGAACGACCAATCCGGTCGCTTGAGTCTCCATTAAAAAAAAAAAACATTAGGTCTTTAAAAAGTCTTGTTCTCTCTCCCCTACCACCTCCCTCTTTCTTGCCCTGGTGCAGGCACGGAGAGGGTGGGGGGGGCCGACAAGTGAGGATTTTCTTGATGGTTAACCCTTGGTAATCCAGCCAATTTTCCAGACTGCCAAAGCCATAAGAGTTCGCTATCTTTTTATAAAGAGGAATGGGATCCCTTCCTCTGGATGCCAGCAGTCTTTCGGAAGGGTTAATGAGCTCACATACAAAAGACGTGGACCTTGTGGCCTAAAAGTCCCACTTCTTTGTGTGTGAGACAAGCAGGGGCGCCTTTCAATTGGCCAGATTAATGAGCAATCTGTACATAAAGATTGCAGGGTGAGGAGATAAGCCGAGAAGTATTAGGAAGTAGCTGGCTACGACTTAAAATGGTTAAATCCTCTCGTTATATTTTAATGTAATTTGCTTGAGGTATATATTTGTGTGCTTTACATAGGTGGCAATCTACAAATAAAGATTGCAAGACACTTAAGCCAAAGTAAAATATAGTGCCAATACATCCAAAGTGTTAGTTGGGAAGGTAATGTCTTGTAATTGTTGCACTTTGCAGAGTTTTTTTTTTTTAAGAAGAAAGTTGGTTATAACCTTTAACTTGATTTTTTTAATGGGTGCAGTTATAGTGGGGGAGGAAAGTGGGAGGGGGGCAATGTGGAATTAAGGCGTGTAATTTTTAAAGGCCATTTAGTGCAATTGAATGCTAGCTTTCTAAAAAATTTGTGTCGTTAAAAGGAATTTTTTTTTTCTTCCCTGCTTCAATATGGCGACTTTTCCTTGTCCTTTTGTCTCTTCCGAGCGGCGTTGCAGGTTGTGTCTTTACCAATTTTTCTCCTGTCCTTTTCCCACCTTGACCTCCTTTGTTGGGAGGGGCCCAACTCCCCTCCCCCTTATTTGTAGTATAGAAACGGGGGTGGGCTGTATTAGCAGTTTGAGCCCCCAACTGCAAATTCTTACTCTATCCCAAGCAGGAGAAACAACTTTTAAGTAACATTTTTAATTGCCTTTGTTTTTACCAAATCAAATGAAATTTAATAAGTTAAACACAATTTGGGGTGGGGTTTTTTTGTTTGTTTTTTGCTTTTTTCTTTTTAAACTGGGGACGGGTTTTAATGGGATGTTTGTACTGTAACTTTTACGGCAAACCGTAGGTGTTTTTTTTCTTCCTTGAGTCTCTTCTCCATTGCAAGATGGCGTCCCTGCTTTGTTTTTCTCCTTCCTCTTCCCTCTTGCCAGTCGGAACATAGGGCTGGCTTAGGAGGTTAGTTAAGGGGGAGGAGCAATCTGAAAAGGTGATGTAATCAGCTTTCCTTCACTCCCCTCCACCCTACTGAAACTCCACCCCTCTGAGTTTTGCCTTTTGAGCCATGATCAAACTTGGGAGGAGTGGAGCCTGGTACTGGAATACCTTCTTTATCTATCTCTACATATTTGATCTTAGTTTGTTTCTGTTCTTTTTCTTTAACAAAGCACCGCATTTTCTCCAACGAGCCAGTAGGAATTACTAAGTCTCTAGGGGTTGCTTCTCTTGTCCAGTGGATACCTGTGGGTAGGTTTGAGGCTTAGCAACAGGACCAATTTTTCATCTGTATTACAATATCCTAGAAATCCCCCCACATATACACAACCTGGGAAACAGAGTAAGTGGAATTTACCCATTTCTTTCCCATTTTCTGAGCCTAAAGGATAGGAATAATCTGGCTGAGTTCACAGCCCTGAATAGGAAAGATTAAATAAATCTCTGGTCTAAATATGAATTTCCACTGTTAGGTTCTTACTGAAGCTAGTCCTTAGTCTAGGGACATTTTCACCTTTTGAAGGGTAAAGGGTGGGTGCTGGAAGGCTTTCCTCTAAACTTCCCATCCTCCTCCTTCCCATCTTCTCTGGTTTTGGGGTAAACTCTTTTGTGTTCCGTGCTGTACCACCTCCAGTTGCTTAGCCTCCTGTACATTGGTACTAAGATGAGGAGTGAATCTTTAGGAAAAAGGCGGCAGTTGTAAACTCAAGGCAGGGGGAGTCAAGCTTCGTTTTCTGGTAAGCAAAACCTTTCTGGTATTACATTTCACAACCTTCATTTCTGTTTTCCAAGTAATCATTTTTTTTTAATCTTTTTTTTTCCTTTTTTTCTCCCGCCCAAACTTATGGCTAATAATGGAAACATAACGTTCTGTTCTCCATTTTCAACTCATGCAGTGCTGTAGCAAACCAGTGCATGTCCAAGCCGTGGCAGTACTCAAGGCTGGTGTTTGTGTCCTGTCCTTTCCTTCCTTTTTTTTTTTTTTCCCAATTATCAAATATTTTCCAAAAATCTTTTACAAGTTTTAAGATCCTCAGGTTCATGGCAAAGTTGAAAGGCCTGAACTTGATCCTTGCCCTGGCAAATTTTCTGCTGGATGTGTAGTACCTACCTCTAAAGAATTCCTTAGCACCTATTTTGAGGAGGTCCAAGAGATTTGTGCCCTAAGTTGGACCTGCCTACACTACCAATTTTCCAGAGGTTTTAGTTTACCCCCAGCACTCTAAATGGTGGAGAAATTATTGTGTCTGCCATATACATGGGGATGTGAACATAATACCCCCTTAAGTTCCTAAAACAGACTAGTGAAGTAATTTTTGAAGTCTCTCTGCAATATGAAAGTTGAGGAATAAAGGAGTCTTAAGGAACCAGCTTGGGAGTGCCAATCTACTAATTAGCTTGAGTTGTATCTTGGCACCTTTTCTGCCATATAAAGCTCGTGATCTTTGCAATCCTGTCTTAAAAGGCAAGCAGACAGGAATCCCCCCATTACCAAAGTGCCCCTGGTAGGGATACAAATGTGAAAGACACAGAATCCCGAAGTTTACTCCATGATGGTAGGCCACAATTCATATAGCAGCTATGTAATTCTAAGTTTCTCTGATGCCAGGGAAAGCCACAACTCAAAATGATTTCACCCCCAAAAAACAGGTGCCTTTAAGGTTCCTAGGGGGAAAGGAATGTGAATTTTAGGCCAGTAACAAAATTTAACTTATCCAGAAGGGCTGCAACAGAATATGGCTCATGATAAACGTGCCTTCATTCCCTGCCCCTCCCCCTTTTGTTAAAAGGAAGAAATAATTTTTATCTTTTGAGATGGGCAACTTTAAGAGATCTTACTTTGAGTTTTATATATGTTAACCCTGACTCACTCAATCTACTCTTAGTAATGATGAGATTTAGAATTTAATTTTATTCAAGCCAGTTAATTGACAAGGTTTTTCAGTCTCATTAATGAAGCCAACAAAATTCTTGTAGGGAAAGGCTTTCTTGCCTGGATCCCTTGTGTACCCCTCAGCTACTCATTTCTATATTAAAGCTATAGCTGAGGATCAAGCACCCAGATCAGCATAATGAGGATCTGGCAGCTAAGAGCTGTAAGAAAGAAGCCTGGCTAAATGAGAGCAAAGGCCCTGAGAGAGTAGGGATTTGTTTATTGATTTTTGCTTTGTTTACTTCCTTGGTC